TTTTAAAAGTATTTATTAGAAATATAAGACAAAAGATAGTACAAAAAGAAAATGAAAACTGGAATAACTACAAACTCTACCCAAGAAAAACCATGCCTGTTTTCTAAAATTCTCTGCAATGCCAAAATCTTCATCTCCAAATCATCATTTACCATCTCCAAGTCTGCAACCTGAACTCTTAACCTATTTCTTTCTAATCGCAACCTCTCCAACCGAACATTATTTTCATAATTCTGCCGAACTAGTTCAACCAGATCATACTCTTGTAGCTGTATCTGAAGGTTCGCTACTTGACTCTGCAACCCCTGGATAATAGCTGGAATAGACTGACTTCTAGTTGTTTGTGGCATCTAAGTTTTGACAAACATGTCGTTAGAAAAAGAATACTTTTTCCAAGATGAATATACTTAAAAACGAGAGTATCAAAAGAAAGAAAAAGAGGAAACGATAAAGAGAAAAGTATCCACCGGGGCCATGCAGTCAATCATACAAGTCATGAAAAAGAAAATCAATCGTCCAAGCATGAAGGACTGTCAGCTCACCCAGACATGAAAGACCAGCAGTTGCCCTGAAAGTGTAAAGCTAACGAGGTTTAGCACACGGTCCGAAAAATATACCCACTTTCGACAAAGAAAACAAGAGACAAGACAAGCGAGACAAGAGAAGTTATCGAGAACTAAGGAAAAAGAGAGAAGAGTATTAAACAAGAAAGTTTCTAATATAAAGGAATTATAGAAAAGAATAGTACCAAAAAGAAGATTTGTATGTGAAATTTTTGAAAAACAAAACATACCAAAGAACAAGAATATAAATGAGAATTACAACAATGGTTAAATTTTCTTATACCAAGAAAAACTATCACATGGTATAAACAAAGAAAATCATAAACAATAATGATGTGATTTATAAATTTAGAAAAAGGATAAACAATTTAGAATGCAAAGCTAATTTTAGCACAAAGAATTGCATAAAGTTCGAAAACCTCCTAATTTTTAAGGAAGAAACAGACAAAGAAACTTATGAAACACATGATTCTAACATGTAGAAATTCGACAAAGAAAACCACATCTACTAAATTAGTATTACTATAATTATTTATCTTTTTAAAAAGAAGATTCGAAAGAAAGACTTTGGCAAAAATAGGAATAATATATTTTATAATATATTGTCTATTTTAAATCAACTATAACCAAAACACGTGATTAAAACCTAACGACTTTATTGGACAATTGCAAAGATAATGCTCGAAAGAACACTAAAAAATCTTCAAAAAAACAGAAAACTCAATCCAATTTCAAGATACAGCAAGAAAAAAAAATACTATAACAGTGACCAACTTGGAAAATACTATAAAAACTCCTACTATCATTCTCGAAAAACTAGAATTTTCAGAGAAAATTCTTAAAGATAATAGAAAACACAAGACAATTTTTAATTTTTTTTTATATACATTGCATGCTATATTATTTATTTTAGAGTACTGTAATTAACATGTGATTATTACCCTATTAATGTTCAAAAGAAGTAGCTAGAAAAATTTTAGTATCATTTGAACTATAGATTAATGGTCATGGCAGAGGGCTGTAATCATGCAGACCCGGGTTTGAGACTGGCTAAGGGAGCTGTCTGCTAGGTACCAAGTTCAGTGTAGCCCTTAGTTGAAGTATTTGAATGATTAATTTTTTTATTTTATTTTACTATTATTATTATTTTTTTATTATTATTATTATTATTATTATTATTATTTTTTTTTTTTTAGTTTATATATTTATTTTATTTGAAAAAGAGAGTAATAACATAACATATATATGTACAAAAAAAAGAAAATTACAAATCAAATTCTACATCTAAATCTACTACAACTCTATCTATACAACTCAGCAACCTGAACCCACAACTGATTTCTTTCTTGAACAACTCTCCAATGCTTTTTGTCTCTCTTCCAATTCTCTTCTACTGACTCCGCATCCCAAAAACGAATCTCTTCCAACTCTGCTTCCAACACCACAATTCTTCTCTTTAAGGATCTTATTTCACACCACAACCTGATATGGATTACAAAATTAATCTTTTATTGAAAACTATTATAAGAATTAGTAAATATTTACCTTCTATTCTGATTATGCACTCCGATAAGAGCCTCATAAAGAGACTCATTACCATTATATCGTGAATGTCGGACAGTACGTGAGATATGAGTGTGAGGCATTTTTAATGATTTATTATTATTGTTATTGTTGTTATTGTTGTTGTTGTTGATGTTATTGTAGTTGATATTGTTGATATTATTAATATTAACAAAAAGAGAAAAAGA